AGGCACGGTGCTGCTAGCAAATGGTCCACCTACTGGAAAATGCTTTGAGTGATTGTGGGGGAATTTCCTAAAGAGAACTCCAGTTCCCTCCTGTGGCTAGGGGGGTTGAGCATCCAAGAGAGCAGACCACAGTCTGGCCACGTCCAGATAAAAGTTCTGTGAGCTCTTAGGTCAGCAGCTCCAGCCCAAGCATTTGCCTCTGGCTCGGAGTTCATGTGGCAAGATGGAGTGGCCCTAACCAAGAGTGCAAAACCATTTTTGCCAAGCAATATTCTTAATGCCAGCACTGTTCTAGGTAATGAGGGTATAGCAGTGGGTGACCAGACACCATTACCTGCCCTCCTGGAGTTGACATTGTAGCAGGGCCCAGTATGAGCCTGGGAGAGCCTCACTGATGCTGACTTGCCGCAGTGTGCTGGGGAGATGTATGTGGAATACCAGCAAGCGACCAGCGTCCCTATAAGGACTCTTGTAGGGGGTGCCTGGAGATACCCAGAGGGAGTGGAGAACTCAGGTCTCAGGAGTCACCACCATCACCCCCCTCATAACGTGCCAGAGATCTGTCTACATGCTTGGCACGTATTAGCACATTTAATCTGTCTGCTTCATTCTCTGATATGACCAGAACAGTGCCTGACACATTGTAGGTGTTCGAGAAATACTTGCAGAATGAATGAATTGAATTCTCACAGCAAATCCCCTGAGGTGGGTACTGCAGTTATCATTCCATTACACGGATGAGCAGCTGGGGCCCAGAGAGAAGTGATTTTCCCAAGGTCACACAGAGCTAGTACAAGCTCAGGCTGTGTGATTCCCAAGCTCATGGCAGTACCCACTGCATTTGTTTCCTTTTGCTACTATAACAAATTGCCACAAAATTTAGTGGCTTAAAATGACACAAATTTATAGTATAACTATTCTGGAGGCTAGAAGTCCTAAAATCGAGGTGTCAGACACTTTGTGTTCCTTTTTGGATGCCCTAAGGGAGAGGCTGTTTCCTTACCTTTTCCAGCTTCTTGGGACAGCCCAGATTCCTCGCCTTGTGGCTGCATCACTGAGACCGACCTGTTCTTCCACCATTGTATCTTCTTCTCTAAGGCCTGCCTCCTTCTTATAAGGACGCCTGTGATTACATTGGGACCACCTGGGTAATCCAGAAAACTCTCTCCATCTGAGAATCCTTAATTTAATCACACGTGCACAGTCCCTTTTGTCACATAAGGTAAGATGTGGATGTGAACATCTTTGGGAGGCCATTATTCAGCCTACCGCACCCACTTACCCGGCTGTTTTTACAACCCTGGATTTTTGTTTGCCATTTTCCTTAAACATTCAAGGAAACGGATAACCCTAAATGAGCTGAAAAGATTTGAAACTCCTGAGTAAGAAGGAAGGGGACTAGAACTTGGGATATCAAAGGAGACTTGGATTTTATCTACAGTGTTCATTTTATTTTTTATTTAAAAAGATTTGAAGCAAATAGGCAAGATGTTAATAATCCTGAATGGCAGGAAATGGAATTTTGCCATGTTGCACTCTGTATTTATTGTATTTTTCTTAAAAACACTGAAATTGTCTGCATAGAAGAACAAGGGTCTTGGAGGCTGGGAATGCTGGCTGTGGCTGGTGCACCTGAGACTAGTTACTTAGCCGCTCTGTTTCCTCCTGTGTGAAACGGAGATGATCTAGTCGCTGTGATTGAGGGAGCCCACGCGTGCAAAGGATCTGCAACAACGTTCGATGATATTTCCACCCCCTCCCCGCCCCGTGATTCTTACATCGCAAGGGGAAGGGCTAGGCCACGAGGCCACCAGGCCTGCAGAGGTGACTTGAAGTGGGAGTAGAGAATCATCAGGATGGGGTCCCAGCCTGGCTAGTGCAAACCGGGGTTCCCAGCGGGACCCCCAGTCCAGCCAGGAGGAAGCGGCAGCGCGGCACCGCCCCCAGGTGGCTGTAGGCAGCATCCCACCCATGGAAAACGCAAAAATCAAATCCAAACACACATGTAACGTTTTAACCTAAGTGCACATATAGGAATAACATTCATCGGGCGTCGGGAAGATGGGAGAGGGGAGGAGCGGATGGGTATATACATAGATAATGAGTGCGATGCGCACCATCTGGGGGATGGACACGCTTGAAGCTCTGACGGGGTGGGGGGGGCAAGGGCAATATACGTAACCTAAACATTTGTACCCCATAATATGCTGAAATAAAAAAAATTAACGTTTTACATTTCTGAACTCCTCTTTCCTTTTTAATGGGGCGTTCCCACTGTATTTATTGCTGCGATCACCAGAGCGCTGTGACTCCAAGGCTCCGAAGGACGCCAGGGGGTGATGTACAGTGACAGGCGCGGGAACCGCCGGTTCCTTATCGGGCACGCGCAAATCTGCGGGGGCGGGGCTCATAGAGCACGAGACGCTGCGTCATCAGCCTAATATGGCCTGAAAGGAGAACGCTACGCACGGGAGGTAGCGTGGCCGAGTGGTCTAAGGCGCTGGATTTAGGCTCCAGTCATTTCGATGGCGTGGGTTCGAATCCCACCGCTGCCACACCGTCATGGTCTAGCTTTTCCTGCCCCCAAGTCCTTCAGCCTGTTTATGTCATTCTTTCCCACTCCCTCTCCTCTTTTTCTCTTTTCTGACGCTTAATTTTTTTTAATGGCAGGGAGAAGGGAGGAGAAAAGGAAGAAACTGTATCAAAGGCTCTTACTCTCTAGCCCAGTACACAAACTTCTCTTTCACCCACCAATCCCACTCCCTTAAAACAAAACAAAACAAAACAAAACAAAAAACTGCTCCCTATTTCCAGGAGAAAGCATCTGGACTTTGATGCTTTGGGAACTTGAAGTTCCCAACAGCCCGCTTGGGACTTTAATTTAATGCTTCCAGGACTGAGGCCACGGCGAGTGGGCCTCTTTACCTCCCAAGGAAAATGTTGGCTGGGAGTGATTGTTATCATGACCTGAGTTAGGAAGGGTCCCTTTCTGGCCCGCTCTGTGTACTTCAGAGGGCCCCGGCTGACCCCATAAACCTCTGTTGGTAGAAGAGGTGTCAGGTGACACTGCGGAGAGGGGCTGGGGTAGCAGAGGTCGGGCCCCACGTGGGGGTGTCAAACTCAACGACACCCCTGAGGGTCTCAGCTTCATTAATTCACCTCCTACTTGGTCTTCAGGCTTGGCTTAGGGCATCCTTACTTATTTATTCATTCACCAATTATTTACGAAGGGCCACCATGTGCCAGGTACCCAGCTCGTCCTGAGGCCACAGTACTGCACAGGGCAGACGTTTTCAAACCTGTAGAGTTTACAGACATTGTAATGTCATTAATTACACTTGTGAAGAGTGTTCTGCAGCGCAGCCCGCTAACCTGGCCAGGGTGCGGAAGAGCACGAATAACTGCGTGTTGTGTTGAGACCAGTGGGCCTTGGGCAGCTCCCCCAAATCCTCCCAGCTGCAGAGCAGTAACTCCCACCCTCCTCCGCTCTTTGAAGACAGACAAATTCCCAGTCTCCTCATCTATAAAACAGGAATAATAAGCCCTACTGACAGGTGGTCCTAAGAATTAAATAAGATCATATAGATGAAAGCCCTTTCAAACTGTTAAGCATTAAACAGACATAAAGGATTATTATTCTTCAAAAAATGATATACACACATGCTATTCATCCTGGCAGAGAGGAGCATACATTTTTTAGCTGCTTCGCAAACTGCTTCCCTGTCCAGTACAGTGGGACACCCCTGCCATGGCCTTGTTGGTTCTGATTAGCACATTCATTCCCCTCCCCCACCATTTGTGATGGGGTTCTTCTCTGCCGGGATCCATGGTTTGCTCAGCCAGTTTCACGTGTGCATATTATGATGTATACATGGATGTATTTACACACTGATGTCTTGGTACCTACGACTGATACCAAGATGATAAGGAGGCTCAGTTTCTGTGGAGAGCTGGGCTGGATGAACAAGTTGAGGCCTTAAACGTTCAAGATAACAGTGATCGCCACTACCCCTCATTAATAGAAACAATACCAAATCATAAAATATGACCAACTTGGCTCTATTTTTCCCCATTATAATTATATTGGTATTTCTTCAAGACATCCAATTCTTTAAAATGGTTTTATTTTGTTTTTTTTCTTTTTCGATGCCCTTTCTGGTACCGAAGCCTGTGCTTACTACGCTGCCATCCCCAGACTCCTAAGCCAGAACCCTCAAAGGCCAAGCCGGGCGGGGCAGAAGCCTGGATCTCAGGTGTCCCTCCAAGCCCTGGCTATCAACACACAGGGAGATCTGTAAATGAGCGAAGAACCCAGAACTTCTGGGTCAGGGCGGATCAGACGCAATGTTACTAGAATGGGTCTAATCCAAGATTCCGAGCCGATCCCGGGACAAGCCCAGGGAAGCTCGGGCAGCGAGGAGGGTCCACTCTCCCCAGAAGCGGCAGCAGACAGCGCAAACCGCAAGCACCGACCCAGCCTGCGCTAGCGGATGGAGGCTCCAGCAGCCAGGCCCCAAGGGGAACCCACCCAGGAGGCGGGGCCGGGAAGGACTGGACCCAGAGGGAGGGCGAGGCCAGTCTCGGAATGAGAAACCAAGGGGTGGGCCCAAGCACGAGGGTAGGGCCAGACGGTGGCGGAACCAGGGCAGAGGGGGAATCTGGGGCGTGGCAGGACTGGGCAGGAACGGGGAGGTCCGGGAGGCAGAGCAAGCTGTGAGGCCAGGACCTTGTCAGTAACCGGCCGGGCCAGAGAGCGAAGCATGGGCGAGGCCAGGGTGCCGGTGCGGGACTAAGTCGGGGCTGGATCAGGGGGCGTGGCCAGGACCCGTGAGGCGGGACGGGGCGTGACCAGAACACAGGAAGCGAGGCCGGCTCTGGGGCGGATCCGGGGCGTGGCCGCGACTCAGGGGGCGGGGCAGGGCCGGGGCAGGGGCGGGGACAAGGCCCGGGGCTGGGCGCGGGCGAGGGTGATGCAGGGCGGGCGGCCGGGCGACCCGCGGTCAGAGGCGCTCCGCGACCGCCCGCAGGGGTTGCAGGCCTAGGTAGTGCAGGGCCAGGGCGAGCAGGCCGAGGAGCAGCAGCCCGAGCAGCAGCCGCAGGAGCGCCCGCGCCGTGGAGCCGCGCGGCCGCGGGGCGGAGGACTGCACGTACCGCTCCACGACGTCGGAGAAGCTGAACTTGTCGGGCGCGTAGCCAAGCTGAGCACGGGCCTTGGCGATCTGGAAGGTGTGCGTCACGGCCACGCTGCACACCTGCGGGGAGAGGCGGGATAGCCGAGGGCGGGGCTAGCGGGAGGGGCGCGTCCTTCACCTCGGTGTCCAGGATGCCTTTTCTGCTTCCCCCTCCAGCCCCGCTGAACTCGCACCCTACTGAGCTCCTCCGTCTCCAGGAAGCGAAGGTCCCACCTCTGCACGTCCCTTCCGGGCCTAGCAGGGTACTGACACTCGCGAGGCCCTCAATACATTCTTGGGTATCTGCTGGAGAAGCCTGACGCCCGCCGGAAACATGTCTCCAGGACGCGGCCTTGGCCTCCTGCCCACAGCCCCAGACCAGCTGTGGCCAGGCGGGCCCCAGGCGCAGCCTTAACGCGCTCGCTAATTAAGCTTCCCTGAGAGAGGAATTCAATTGTGCAGAACTGATTTCTCCCCAGGGTCTGAGCAGCGTTTCCCGGCCTTGCCAGGTGGCCTGGGGCCCACCGGCTTCTAGGCTAATAATGACAGCTATCAAATACGGAGCACACACCCTGTGTTTGGCCTGAGCTAAGTCCTTTCTATACCTTACCTCATTTTTATCTTCTGAGGTGGCGCTAGCATCCTCTCCACTTTGCATATTTGGATAACGGTCAGAGAGGTTGAGTGACTTGCCCCGGGTCACACAGGGGAGCCAGATTCTACCCTAAATTCTTCCCTGCTATGCTGGGGCCCGGAGATGCCCTCGCACTGGATTAATTTCTTCCTCTCCAGTTCCTCAGGCAGACCCTGGGGAAGAGTCCACCAGCAGCTTGATTCTGAAACAGCCCCTGCGGGCCACCCCCTGGTCATGGATGCTTGAGGGGCTGAGGAGAGAGGCTAGTTCTTGTCCTTTTGCCCCAGCCAGTAAGTGCAGGGTTTGGGGAGCAGCAGGTAGGCTTATTACAGCTAAGTTAGGTAAGCAGGGTCCCTGGGCACAGGATTCTCAGAGCTCAGCCTTAAATGTCACCTCCTTTGAGAAGCCTCCCTGACTTCCTCAGAGTTGACTTAGATGCCCCTTCTGTGTGCTGCAAAGTTCCTCGAAATTTCCCCTACTAGTGTTAGCTCTTATCACAATGTATTGAGTTGCCTGGTTAATGGGCTGTCTTCCCCTTTGGACTGTGAACTCCCTGGGGTAAGGACTTTGTCTTCTTGCCTCCATTACTCAGTACAGTGCCTGGTACAAATAACAGTAGGTGCTCAGTAAATGTTAAATTCATGAAAGGCTATATATAAATTCAAACTAGAGGGCTGGTTGGTGCATCGCAGACTGACCAGCAGAGGGCGCCAGAGGCACAGCGGAGATACTTCCCCAGTTAAGGATTCTTTACCAATGAGCTGAGCAAGGAAACCCACAATTTAGACAAGAGTAAGGGAGCCAAGTCCCTGCCTGACCACAGCTCAGCAGCACGTTGGCAGCTATTTCACACGGATGGGATTCCTGATGCATTTCGCAAGCTAGCGGTTAAGCTAGAAATCATTTAGGTCTAGGTTTGAATCCCAGCCCTACCCCTTAAGTGAGTGATGTGGGCAAGATATTTCATTGTCTCATTTCCTCCTTTGTAAATGGAGATGATAACAGGATCTACAATTTAAGAGTAGTAATGAAGTCTAACAGAGATAAAGCACAGTGCGTGGCATATCGATAGATAGTCACTATTGTCATTATTCTCTGGCCTCTCCTCGTCTGGGTGGCTCAAAGGAGAAACCATAGGTAACTGCTTCCGGCAGTGGCCCATTCCACACCCCCCCCACATTCCCTGTGTTAGAGAGCTCTGCACTTGGAGTCTGAAGCCCATTCCTGTATAGTGTGACCTTGGACAAGTCACTAATTTCTCTAATCCTCAATTTCTCACCATAAAATGGAGATCGTAATCTTTCGGCCCTTCCTAATTTAGCAGGGCGTTAGAGAGAATCAAATGGAACAGGGCGCTGGAAGGATTTTGCAAATAACCCCAAATGCCTCCTATTGCCTTATTGTTTATAATCTGCAATTCAAACATCCTTTTTTTTTTTTTTTTTTTTGAGACAGAGTCTCGCTCTATTGCCCGGGCTAGAGTGCAGTAATGTCAGCCTAGCTCACAGCAACCTCAAACTCCTGGGCTCCAGTGATCCTCCTGCCTCAACCTCCTGAGTAGCTGGGACTACAGGGACACTCCACTGTGCCCAGTTAATTTTTTCTATTTTTGGTAGAGACGGGGTCTCACTCTTGTTGAGGCTGGTCTCGAATTTTGGACCTCAAGTCATCCTCCCGCCTCGGCCTCCCAGAGTGCTAGGATTACAGGTGTGAGCCACCTTGCCTGGCCCAAACATCCTCTTTTTTAACTAAGCAAATATACACCTACACCATTATTATCATGAGAGTAGTATTCTGTACACAGTAGGTACTTAATATGTACTTATCATTCAGTAAGCATGAACTATGAGCAGAGGACCACCAGGCTCTGTGTGAGTGTGTGTGTGTGAGTTGGTGGGGTTCGTGGCGTTCAAAACAGTGAAGGCATGAAACCTGCCTTTGGGAGCCTGCAGTCTTGCTGGAAGCATAAGCTGCTTTTGGATGAAATAACAGGGCTGAGAGATGGGCTTGGAGCTGTCACATTTCAGACCAAGAGGGCACAGCCTCAGCAAAAGCCCAAAGGTCAGAGTGATCATAATGGAGCTAGCACCAGCTTTGGGCCCACAAGGAAAATTCTGAGACCTCAGAGGAGGACCCAGTCACGGTGTCACAGGGGTGAGGAGTGGCCGCAGTGGCGGTGGGGGAGAGGCAGATAGGGAGGGAGGGGAGCACAGCAGGGTTGGGGGGTTCCCGTGGCCGCGGCCCACTTACCTCACTCCGGGTGAGCAGCAGAGGGACAGTGCAGATTGGTCTCAGGGCCAGATGCAGATGCTCCATCACGGAGGCTGCAGGAAGGGAGGGGTCGTGACCAGGGGCCTCGCTTCATGCAAACTGCAGGGACATCCTCGGGGGTAGATCAATTGGGGCATTTATTTGCTCTTCTAGGGGTTACTTTGCAAAAGGCATTGAATTCCTTTAAATCAGCAGCCCAGGCTGAGGTGCCTTGTTTAGCTGTGAAATATGTCCTAAGTAACCAGCTATTAATAGTACAGGACTGAAGTTTTTAAATCTGAGTAGACTCAAAGTTATCGCTATAAATCTCTCTCTCTCTCTCTCCTATTCCAATTTGCTCCCTTGAGTAGGGGAGGAAGAGGCTGGAGCAAGGGCTCTCAACCTGGGCTGCACACTGGACCACTTTAGACGATACTAAGGCTTTCCTCCCACACCCTCCCCACAGATCCTTCTGTCACTGGTCTGGGGTGTGGCGGAGGCATTTCTCCATTTACTTTATTGTTTTTATTTCAGCATATTATGAGATACAGATGTTTAGGTTTTACATATATTGCCTTTGCCCCGCCTGAGTCAGAGCTTCAAGTGTCCCCCAGGCGGTGCGCACCGCACCCATTAGGTGTGAATATGCCCATCCCCTCCTCCCCCTCCCACCTGCCCAACACCCGATGAATGTTACTACTATATATGCACCTAAGTGTTGATCAGTTAGTACCAATTTGATGGTGAGTACATGCGGTGCTTCTTTTTCCATTTTTGGGATACTTCACTTAGTAGAATGGGCTCCACCTCTATTCAGGATAATACAAGAGGTGCTAGATCACCACTGTTTTTTAAAACTATGGAACGCTTCACGAATTTGTGTGTCATCCTTGCACAGGGGCCATGCTAGTCTTCTCTGTATCATTACAATTTTAGTATATGTGCTGCCAAAGCGAGGACGTTTCTCCATTTTAAAAGCTCCCTGGTGATTCCAGCGAGTAGCCTGGGCTGAGCAGCTGTGCGTCCAGTTAGCACAACCCTCCACAAGTGCCCTCGCCCGGGGCTGGGGCCCAAGTTTGCAAGCCCCTGCTGTCAATGGCAAGCATCTCAATGCATTTAAAATGCAGCAGGTCTAGCGAAGGAGTTCCAGCAATGCAGCGATTTGTGACTTGAGGGCCACCTATCCCCTCCGGCTGGTCACTCCATGCCTGCTGCCTGCTCTGCACTCCAGCCGGAAGGAGGCCAGCAGCCAGGTGCTGGGGGTGGGAGAAGAGGGCAGCTGCCGGAACACACTGTTGGGGTCAGGGTGGGGGCAGAGACTGACCTTCAGGACTGGAGGAGAATCTAGGGTCAAATGGAGCCTCCACATGTCCAAAAGCAGCCCTAACTTCAGGGTGACCAGGGCTCCCTCTCCTAACTGGCATGATGCCTTCCAGCAAGGCCGTGGGGAGTTGGCCACTCTCAGAGCCTCAGTCACCTCATCTTTACAATGGGCCCACTCATAACTGCCTTGCAAGTGGGATAATGTTGGGACAAGGTGGGGGCGGGGAGTGAGGTGCCTAAGGTGTGAGATTTAAGGAGACACTTGCTCCCGGGACCTGCGAGTTCACTTGTAAGGCCTCCTTAAATCTCGTGCCCTCAGTGCCCCACTGGCCTCATGCTAGTCCCAGCCCTGGGTTACACCTGGCACAGCAGGGCTTTCATACACACACTCCCTTCCTTACCTGTCAGGTAAATCCAGGAAATAGGCACCTGGATCCAGGGCTGGCTGTACCCCAGCTTCTCAAACTGCAAGGAAACATGCTCTGAGATGAGAACAGGTCATTCAAGGGGTGGCGTGAAAAGGCCACATGCTCCTCCTAGCCCCTCACCCACCCACCCAAGGGGGCAGACCCCAGAGCCAGCCCCAAGCCTGTGCCAGTCTTGAAATGAAGTCCACACCTTGAACCAGGGGACGCAAGCAGGAACCGAGTGCACGCGGTGGGCTTTTAACTTGCACCCATTCCCGTTACGCAGTTAGGCTTTCATCTGTCTACACCTGAAGACACTGCAAGGCACTTGTGTAGAATCTGATTTTTCTAGAATTGACTTTTCTTCTATTCAAGAAAAATACAACACCGCAGCATGTGTGTGGAGGGTGGCAGCAGGCACATGCAGAGACGGGCTGAGCTCTCCACTTCTATAAAATCTCTCCAGGTCAAAAAGACACACCGTTGGCAGGATGTGGAGACATTGGAAGCCCCTTATAGTGCTGGTGACAAGTGAAATAGTGCAGCCACTTTGGAAAACAGTGTGGCAGTTTCTCAAAAGGTTAAACCTAGAATTACCCTATAACTCAGCAATTCCACTCCTATTACATATCCAGAGAAATGAAAACACACGTTCGCACAAAGACAGGTACACAAATGTTCATAGCAGCACTATTCATACTAGCCCCAAAGTGGGAAAACCCAAAATTTCCATCAACTCCTGAATGGATAAAACAAAATGTGGTGTATCCATAGAATGGAATGTTTTTTTGGCAATAAAAAGGAATGGAGTATTGACATGCTTCATGCTACATGCTACCACATGGGTGAACTTTGAAAATTAAGTGAAAGAAGCTGAATGAAAGGCCACATACTGCACACAATTCCACCAGTAGGAAACGCCCAGAAGAGGCAAATCCACAGAGACAGAAGCAGATCAGCGGTTGCAGGGGTGAGGAGGGTGTGGGGTGGCCGGCAGAGACTGCTAAAGGGTGCAGGTCTTTGTTTTGTTTTTTTGAGGATGACGAAATGTTCTAATACTATGGCGATGGTTGCACAACTCTGTGAATATCCTAAAAACCCACTGAATTGTATATCTTTAAGCAGGTGAATTGTGTGGTATGTGAATTATATTTCAATAAGGCTGTTATTTAAACAAAACAAAACCTCTGTGGGTGCAAGAGCTGAGGGGAAAAGGGAACACCTTTGTGGGCTTCGTGCCGCAGGCTGGAGGCATGAATGAGCCGAGGACGTGTGCTCCCGCCCGGGCTTTCTGGTCTACCCTGCCAGGCAGGCCTGGCTCGGAGAAAGGCGGCGAAGGCCACGGTGGCTGGGCTGCTCAGAGAGGAGGTGACTGTTCTGGGGCGGGGAGGGGTAGAGCCAGCACAAATTAGGAAGAGGTTGGAAGGCAGTGGTGGCAAAGTGGGGAACACATGGCCCCCCCAAAGGGCAGCCACGACCCAGCTCCAGCTAGTTCCAATGTTGCCTCGTGGACACTGTAGCCAGAGCTGGTTTTCATCGTGAAATGTTAATTTTTGGAAGTTGGAAAGGATGACAGAAAGAGAACACCGGACCCAGAATTCTCACTTGGGGTGGGGGCGGGTGACGGGGCACCTACCAGCGGGGCCATCCACTCAAAGATGTTGATGCTGTCCCCGTCATTGATGTAGTACGCCTGCCCACTCTGAAGGAGACACGCCAGAGGGAGACAGTCAGGCACCTGCCCACCAATCCGGCCCTGCCTTGCAGGTGGCTCCTGGCAGCTGCTCCAACCCCTGGTTCTCCTGAGCTGCCTGGGGACAGAGCTGGGCCATTCCCTGTGAATTCTGGGGCCACCACACTGACTAGCTGTGTGGCCTTGATGGAGTTACCAACCTCACTGTACCTCAGTATCTTTGTCTGAGAAACAGGAGGATAATTACGGGACCTCCCTTTTGGGCTGTTGTGAAGATTAAATGCGACAAGGTATGTAATTGCTTAGATTTGGTGACCGTTATTGTGCGATCAACAACAGCTACCTCCCAGAATCACCATGCAGAGCTAAAGATGCTCTATAAAGAACCCCGCCCCAAGCTTCCCTTGGCCACCGTCCTGCCAGCCAGCTTCCAGCTGGGGAAATCCTGTGTGGGCCAGGGGTGCCCTCTGGATGGGGATGGGCCCCCTGCCTGCTGCAGCTCTGGGCTAGGGGGGAGGGGCACACGGGAGACTCACAGCCACATAGCCCTTGGCTGCAGTGAGCGCCTCGGCCGCCAGCACGTGTGCCTGCACCAGATTGTGCACGTGGACCCAGTTCATCCGTGTCCTGCGGTCCCCAAATCGGAACATGAACAGCATCTTCTTGATGTGGCTCTGGTAGGGGGGAGAGGGTGATCGACACAGGCTCAAGCCTGGAGTGGCTTCACGGTCCACCTCTAGGCTGGCAGCTCCCAGATTTCTAGCTCCAGGCCAGGCCCCCCCGACCCCCACCACCCCAGACTCTTGGATCCCCGGCTGCCTTCCCGGCATCCACACCTGGTTGTCAAATAGACATCTCAACTTACCAGGTCCTGGCGGGAGCACCCGCCCCTCCCTCCTTCCCAGCTCACTAAATCCACGCTACCGCTCAGGCTAGAACCCTGAACCCTCAACCTTCCCTTCTCTCACACTCCACGCCCGACCCTCCTGCAAATCCAGTCGGCTCAACTATTAAAATCTGTCCAGAATCTGCCCACTCCTCACTACCCTGACTGCCACCCTCATCCCTCACCTGGACACTGCAGTAGCTTCCTAACTGGTCCCCCTCTGTCACCCTCAGCCCCGGTGGCCTGTTCTCTGCACAGCCAGGGGCATCCTTTTCAAAAAAATTATTTTATTTTTTTTAGGCTATCATTGGGCATGAATTTTTTGTGGAGATGGGGTCTTGCTATGTTGTCCAAGCCGGTCTCCAACTCCTGGCCTCAAGCAATCCTCCCTTCTCAGCCTCCCAGAGTGCCGGGATCACAGGCGCAAACCACCATGCGTGGCCCAGGGGCATCCTTTTAAATGCGAACTCAGACCATGCCTCTCCCTGGCTCAGAACCTACCGGCTGCCCATCCTGCCAGGCTGGACGCTGCAGTCCTCACACTGGCTGACAAGCCCTTCCTGACCTGGCCCCGGCTACTCTGTGACATCACCTCCTCCTAACCGCACGCTGTTCCTGGACGTGCAGCAGGCTCTCATCTCAGGGCTCCGGGTGAGCTGTTGGCCCTGTCTGGAAGGCTTTTCCTGCAAACTCCTGCATGATGCACTCTGTCGCCTCCATCAAGGGGATGCTCAAATGTCACCTCCCCAGTGAGGCTCCCTTGACTGCCCAGCAAGCCCGAGTCCCTCACCCTGCTCCACCTCTCCTTTCTCTCCATGGTGCCTGGCACCTTCGAACATACCTCATAACTTAACGTGGTCACTGTTCATTATCTAATATCACCTGGGAAGACAAGCCCCACCAGGGCAGGAATCGCCTGTTTTGCTCACTGATCTGTCCCTACACCTAGAACCATGCTGGGCACATAGTAGGAGTTCAGTAAGTTTTTGTTAAATCAATAAATAAATGAATAGGGGAGAAAGTCATTGGGGTGGATCCCACAGTCCTTGAGAACCCAGTTAATTAAAAAAAAAAAAGAAAGAGAGAAAGACAGCCCCAGCAGAGGAATGTTTTGACGCTGCAGACCGGAGCTGCGCTCCCCAATCACTCTCCACGGCCCCCCAGGACCCCGCACTCCCAGATCAGACCTGCTTCCTAAACCAACCACGATCTTTCTCATCGCCAGGTTTGTGTCCCCGCTGCCTCCTCTATTTGTCCTACCTTCTCTCTACAACCCCATTTCCTTGGTTAATTCATTTTTCTTCTTCCAAACAACACGGGCATCACCACCTCCAGGAAGCGCCCCTGGGCCTCTCCTGCCGGGCCCATCTTCCTGTGCCCTCGTCTACACAGCCCTTACCTCACCAAGGCTGTAACTATGGTGTCTGTCGCCCTGATCAGCCATGAGGAATCTGAGGACAGGGCCTAGAGCCCTTTGTAGCTACATTCCTGGCACCCGGCTTTCTCTAGGGAGAGGTCATCTGCACGGTGACTCAGTGCTGCCCGCACGGGTGAACCGTCCAGCCCTCAGGGCGCCCACACGTGAGTGGTGGCAACGGGCTCCCTTCTGTCTCCGTGGGGTCACCGCTCCGTGTCTCCCCTACCCGGGCCGGGGTCTGCATGGCACACACTGGAAGTTCCTGGCAGGGGCATCTCCCAGAACCAAGGGTCCCAGGCTCGGGAGGCCCTGCCTCGAGACGGGCACGGTGCCCATGTTCTGGGAGGGCGGGTGACATACCACCACACGGGGCAGGTGCCTCTGCTCTTCAGGGCCGTAGATCCCCGGGGGCCGGAGCACACACGTCCGAAGAGTGCCTCCTCCTAGGACACAGGGGAGGGCGGTCAGGAGCCCGGGCAAGAGCAGCTCGGCAGGGAGAGAGAGAGAAAGGCTGTCCACACCCCCGGTCCTTACCTAGACAGGTTAGAGGGGAAGACCAGCTCTGGGGTTTCTGCATTCGATTTGTTATTCTCTCAGTTAATCGGTTAGTCATTCAACAGACACTATTCAGAGTCCCAGTCCCACCCCTGCCCCCACCCTGGATGGGAGCTGTGAAGACCATAAGGTCCCTGTCGTCACAGTACTCGCAGGCCAGTAACAGAGTTAAGACCCAGATGCAAATATCTGCATGGCCCGGGAGAGTTTACCAAGCACGTGCCAGAGTGATCTCCTCCCACTCCCCGACAGTCCCACTGTGCCCATTTTGCAGATGCACCCAGACCCACACTCCCTCATACTCCCTCCCTCTTTCCTTGTTCTAATCATCAGGAGAGGCCCTAATCTAATAGACAAGAACATCTATAGATATCTAATAGGTAAGGACAATCAGGGAGCTCCTACTATGTTTCTGGTGCTCTGGGAAACTGGGATTTTTTTTCTTCAAGGCAACCTATGAGATGGGTTATGCCTGTTGTTATGCCTGTTTTATGGATAAAAGAAGGAAGGCTCAGAGAAGAGATGTGATTTGCCTACAGTCACACAGCCCAGCGTGGTGGAGCCGAGATGGGGACGAGAAGCCCACGCCTTCTCCACTAATGCCCCTGCCTCTCGGTGGGGCAAGACTAACAATGGACCCCGTCTCTCAGCTCTCTCTGCCTCGGTTTCCTCACCTGGAGAACAGGTGCCTCAGAAGTGGAGGCGACTGTTAATTACACTCTCCAGACAACCAACGGAGGAAGGAAGAGACTACAGCCGTCACACAGAGCCTGGGGCTCTCTCTGTCCCCACAGAGTCCCCCAGACCATGACAGAGCCTGGTCCAGGGCTTCCCAATTCTCCACCAGGGGGCCCCCAATGGTGGAGGTGGGAGCACATGTCTCTCCTGTGGAAGTCTAGCGGGGCTGCCACAGACATACTTCTTTTAAGTCTTAAGAATGCCTATAAAATGTTCAGTTTATTCCCTTAATTCATTTGTTTAAGATTTTTTTCTTTTATT